AACCTTATGTGTCTAACGGACCTAGTGAATAATATTTATATATTTTTTTATGCATAAAACTAGGACAAAAATCAGTTAAATCAGGAAATAAAGCAGCGTAATTGGCTGTAAGGACAGCGGAGACAGAGGACACTTGAGTTTACTGATGGAAACCTGCTGCCGACCAGGTTAGCTCTGGGAGGATGTTACTATGGCAACAGATACAGAGGATGAGGAAACTCACTTTGGGAAACAGACCCCAGATAGTGTCATTTAACTGATATCCTTTCCTGAAAGTTTGTTAGCAAACAGGAGAGCTGTAAAGGTTCATCATCAGTCTGAATCCTGATTGTCTTTGATTAATCAAACTCTCGCTGGACGGTTCTGCACTGAAGCTCTGCAGAATGTGGAGGATGTGATGCTAGAAAAGCATGGAGCGGATGCTCAGTGTTATAGAGCCATCATGTGGTCATTTTTTTAGATTACACAGGGATTCAAAGCTGTCTGCTATGTGTCCATCAATCGATACACATTTCTGGAAATGAAATCAGAAAAACTCTGGGATGTAATTGACTGATTTTTCTTCTTCTATAACCAAATTCCTCATAAATTCAGAGAAAAACCATAAATCAAAGCAGAGCTCCTGGAAGTGGATCCCTGGGTCCCTGAACTGGAAAGGAAGCAGCAGAACTGTAGGAAGTGTGGTCAGAAAAATCTATTTCCTATCAGAAACCATCCAATGATAATTATGATGCTGATTTTAATGATCCTTCCTTATTAAAGTATTTTAATCAATCGTCTTCCTGCAAGGTTACAGAGTGCCTGAGGAATCATTTAGTTATTATAGAGGGAATAGAGGTCTGACTGTTCAACATTTTCCGGTTCTCTATAAGAACTTTATTTGTGGAGACATTCACAGCTCTTTGCAGACTTTAGGTTAGTTAGAGAAATGTTTTCCAGACCAGAGCAGACAGAACAATGAGCTGAGAGAGCTGTTATGAGCTGTTTTCATCTGTGAACAGACAAAATGCTGACTTAGTGAATTACCATCAACTGCCTTTATTTAAACGAACACTTCATCAAATATTTTCAGAACTTGTGTGATTATAGGTAAACTAATCTGTAAACTTTGAGCATCATTTACGTATAAGCAGGCACAGCAAAGCGTCTTCTGATTCTATGTGTGCAGTGCTGTTGTGATAAAACGGATCTAAGTCTAAATAAATGCAGCATATATTCAATTAAAATTATATTTTTAATTAAAATGTCTTGTTTTTATTTGCTGCTTTAGTTTTGAAACCATCACTGTTTCTTTGGAACTGCTGTAATAAATGGAACTTAAAGCCTAGAAATGAGTCTGAATTATTTCCCTGTGAAACTAAAAGACATTCAATGATGTGAAATCTTCTCTGGCTGATGGACGCCATCATCCTGATTCTGACCAGAACCTGTTTACACTACATTTAACAAAGTTAATGTGGTCCAGGTGTGACGATGGAGAGAAAGAAGAAGGCAGCAGGTTGGTCTGATTCTAGATGGAAATGAAGGAACAGACATTTGATTCCTCAACATTGATTATATTGAAAACAGTGAGATGTGTAATTTATTGAAACCTTTAAAATAATGAATGTCTGAAAATAATACTATAGAACACAGACAGAACAGGTGCTTAGAAATCTGCTTTCAATGTGTGCAGAGAACCAGGTCTATCCTCATCGGCCACAGCCCGAAATTCTTTACTGGGAAGATGGACGAACTTTTCCCTGGACAGGAGTCCAGTTATCTGAGAGCAGAGATTCCTCAGATCTCTGCAGGAACAGAGCTCCGCCCCCAGGATGTCTGCTCGCCAGGAGGGAAGATGAGGTACCTGGGATAGCTATGGAGGAACCCCAGATTTCTATAGGAGAAACACCAGAATCCGTGTTAGCAGCGCTTCTTCCTGTTTCTCTACAGAAAGTCATTTATAGATGCTGCAGACGCTCTGATCAATGTTCATCAGATGATCGGAAATCTCTCAGAATGGATTAAATGATCTAGAAAGATTTTAAGATCCGAAAAAAGAAAAACATTTCTGAGCATTTCTGAATTTATAACCTTTTGTTCATTAGAGTGATGAGTTAGTGATAGAAAACAGTGAGTTAGTTAGTGATAGTTAACAGTCACAGTTAGTGGCAGTTAATAGCAAGTCATTGATAGTTAAAAGTGAGTTAGTGATAGTTAACAATGAGTAAGTGATAGTTAACAGTGACAGCTAGTGCTAGTTAACAGTGAGTTAGTGATAGTTAACAATGAGTTAGTGCTAGGTAACAGTATCAGTTAGTGCTAGTTAACAGTGAGTTAGTGATAGTTAACAATGAGTTAGTGCTAGGTAAC